CTATCTATCTATTTATCTATCTCTATATAATATATATATATATATATCGGTGTTCTCCCTGACACGTAGGCAAGCCAACCAAACCGACGGGACCGCTGGATGTATCCGATGTCTCGAAGAACTGTGCCACGCTCGCGTGGAAGCCACCGAAGGACGATGGTGGAAGTCCGGTGAATCACTACGTAGTCGAGAAGCGAGACACCACCAAACCCTTCTGGACAACCGCAAACAGCAACTGCAAGGTGCGTCCGCATTTCTCTCTCGTTGTTATGCATATCTTTAGCAAACACATTGAACAGCAAATGAATTTTAATGCCGTGTTCCGTTCCATTTTTTTCGTTGCCACCGATGTCATAATAATAATAATAATAATAATTGTTGAATAATATACTGGATAGTAAATTCGTATAAGCGTTGTATGCCAAAACATCAAAAACTAAATGGATATGATAATCGCAGTGCCTAATATTCTCCCGTTCGCTATTGCTCGTCGTTCGTGTAATAACAGGCAGAATTTTTAATATCACTAACGTTTTGTCTTTATGCAACATAATATTTTATAATCTATATATAATATTATTATTATCTTTATAAAATATATATTAACAAGTGTTGTGGATTTACTCGTTGCAGGATACTACGTTCACAACTCAGGGTCTGATTGAGGGCAACGAGTATGAGTTCCGCGTGTTTGCTGTCAACGCAAACGGACAGAGCGAACCACTGGTGTCCGATCTACCTGTCATTGCGAAACTGCCGTTCGGTTAGTCCTGTCAACGTTTTGTCCTCATCAAAATCCCCGTTAATCGCTCAGCACGCATATGTCGTGTGCTTAGTTATTACGAGTTAGTCTAGTTCAATTCTTAGCAAGAGACGATTAGTAAGATAGGCAATGCTATTGTTTTTTGTGTTTTTTTAACAATTTATCAACATGTACACAGTCATTCTGCTTGCTATTTGGTAGGTCCGGTAATTTAAGGGTAATTAGCATGAAGTATTTTACATCAATTCCTATAAAGGAAATAATAGCCAGTTAGAATACAACCATCGTGCCATAATATATATGTGTGTGTGCGTGCGTGCGTGCGTGCGTGCGTGCGTGCGTGCGTGCGTGCGTGCGTGTACGTGCATTTGATACACGTACATATAATTTATATCAAACATTTTTTACACATTTTATCTTACCGCTCTACTGTCTAAACATCATATGTGCTTTTTCTCCGACAGACCCGCCAGGTAAACCCGGCATCCCGGAGGTATCACAGGTTGGCGGCGACTTCGTCAGCCTCAGCTGGGACAGACCGACGTCGGACGGCGGCGGCAAGATCCAGGGCTACTGGGTAGAGAAGCGCGAGGTCGACTCTGACCGCGACTGGATGCGATGCAACCCGTCGCTGTGTCAGCCGACGATCTTCAACGTGCCCAACCTGATCGAGGACAGACAGTACGAGTTCCGCATCATAGCCGTCAACGAGGCCGGCTCGAGCGAACCGTCATCCAACTCCACCCCTGTCAAGGTCAAGGACCCCAACGGTAGGCGGCGCCACATGATAGTCCAGTACCAACGTTAACATTCGAACGGTTGAAATTCGATATTCAATATCAATGCGAATTCTGCACAATGCGTGAAAAATAGCAAGTCTATTGCGCAAGCCTGATGATTTAATAGACATATAAAAGTCAAACGGCTGAATAATGCATTGTGTCAACAGCCTGATTACAAGCATAGGTAACTTGAATGACCACGCGTGATTGCTTTATTGCAGCTCCGGTGCTACCTGAGTTTGTCCGTCAACTGAAACCTGTCACGGGCGTACAGGGCAAGTCCGGCAAGTTTGAATGCGAGATTCTTGCTACACCAGGCACTCAAATCAAATGGTGAGATGCTGTCATGCTGATATCATATCAGTAAAATTATTATCACAAAGACTGCATATTTATTATTGAAACGTTTGCGTACCGATACATGCGCCCAAAGAAACAAATTAAAATATTAATTCGCAATATATATCCATGGTATTCGACCATTTTCATATGAAAATATTAATTATATGTAAAAAAATGCCTTTTTTCTCTCAACCGTACCTGCTACAATCGCGACGCCAATACATCATCGCTGTAAAGCTCGTAGACCTAAGTACAAACCCAACCTTCTTTGCCCCACTCAGGTACAAGGGAACCAGAGAGATCTTCGACGGCAAGAAGTACAACATTCACCAGGACGGCGACAGACATTTCCTCACCGTCAACGAGATGTTCGGCGAGGACGCCGACGAGTACGTGTGCAGGGCCGCCAACAAAGCTGGCTCCCGCGCCTCTCGCGCCGATCTCACAATCATGTGTAAGTTACTGATCTCACCACCATGTGTAAGTTACTGATCTGCTCACCATCATGTGTAGAGTTCACTGATCTCACAATCATGTGTAAGTTACTGATCTCACTCATGATGTAAGTTTTGATCCACATCATGTTAAGTTACTGATCTCACCATCATCGTTGTAAGTACTGATCCTCACCATTCATGTGTAAGTTACCTCGCGATCTGACCACCATGTGTAAGTTACTGCATCTCACCAATCATGTGTAAGTTACTGATCTCCCCATCATGTCGAGTAAGTTACTGAGCACTCCCACCCCAGCCATGTGAGCATAAGTTCCGATCTTCACCAATCATTGTCGACGATTCTCGAGATTCACCTCACCACTATGTTAAGTTTACTTGATCTCACCATCATGTTGAAGTCTACTTGATCTCACTCTCATGGTGTAGTATGGATCTCACAACCATGGCTGTAAGTTACTGATCTCACGCTCCCATGTGTAACCCACAGCTCTATCATCCATCAATCACGTGTATCAGATTACTCGATCTCACACAATCATCGTGTAAGTTACGATCTCACTCGCTCCAATGTGTACAGCTTACTGCTCTCACCATCCTCTCTGTAACACTACTGACTCACACCATCATGTGTAAAGTACCTGATCTCTCTACCACCCAATGTATAAGTTACTGAATCTCACCATCATGTGTAGATTCTAACTCCTTGATCACTCAACACTACATGTCTGCAAAGTTACTCGACTACTCCTAACCACTATCACATCGTTGCTACAAATTACTGATCTACCATCATGTGTAAGTTACCTTGACACACCACCACTCCACATTGAGTGTAACACTACACTTCACCTCACAGATCTCACTCACATCATATCATGTGCACAAGCTACTTGATCACCACGATGTGAAGTTACTCTGCACAATCTCCATCCGAACTCACATTCACACTCACACTCTCACGCATTCGCATCAAGTGACAAATGTTACTGAATTCGTATGCACCATACATGTGTAAGTTTACTGGATCTCACCATCATGTGTAAGTTACGGATTCACTCATTATGTGTGTATAGTTACTGATCTCACAATTTCATGTGTCAGTTACTGATCTCACCATCATGTGTAATTACTCACGACTCGCACCTCACGCGCCGCATCCACACGTCAAAGTTACTTATCTCTACACCCATTTCATTATTGTTCAACACACGTTTACATGATCCTCTACCCAATGCATGTGTAATTACTGGATGCTCACCTATCATGTGTAAGGTTACTGACTCCTCATCCATCATCGTGTAAGTTACTGGATTCACCACTCATGTGTAAGATATTAATTACATGTATGTGTAAGTTACTGATCGTCCCATCATGTTGTTAAGTTACTGATCTCAACCACATCGTTAATTACTGACTCGCCACCATCCTTGTGTAATTTACTGATCTCACCATCATGGTTGTAAGTTCTGATTCACCGATCATGTGTACGATTACTGATCTCACCATTCATGTGGTAACGTATTACTGATCTCACCATCATGTGTAAGTTACTGATTCCTTCACACCTCACATTCATTGTCAGATCTAGCTCTCGATACAACACTCACTTACTGATGTAAGTTACTGATCTCTCAACCACCATGTGTAAGTTACTGGATCACTCTACCACTCAACCTAGCTTGCTAACACTTACTCGAGAATCCTCTACCATGAATGTGTACACAGCTTACATCTGACTACTAAACTCGCATCATCGACTGTATATTACGGATCTCACCATTATTGTAAGTTCTCACGAGCATTCTCAGCCATCATGTGTCCAGTTACTATCTCAGACATCATGTGTAAGTTAGGCTGATCTCAATGCACACCATTCATCACTGTAGTATCACTTTACGAACTCACGACCGTTCACCAGACCTACTCATGTGTTAAGTACCTGATTCTTACCATCATGTGTACCAAGTCTACTTGACTCACAATAATCTGTAACATTCTACTATTGACACTCACTTACTCAATGTTAAAGTTACCTTGACATCACTCGCTCACCATACACAATGACAGATTGATGCGAGAATAGTGTGTAGTCACGTTTCTAATACGCCTATGCTATGTTGATCAGTAACTTACTGATTTTTCTCATCATCTGCCATGAGTGTGTACAGGTGTACTCGCCTCCTACACCACAGGCTACCGGCTCCTGGAATGACAGATCGGCTGAGGGGGCCCCTGATCGGCCCCTAAGATCACGTTCGATCTTGTCTGCTTGATGGTTACGATTCTCTGTATAGCCCATCACGTTGTAAGTTACTGATACCGAGCCATGTGGTAACGTTACTGATCTCCACATCATGTGTAAGTTAGCTATTAGATCTCTCGATGACTATCAATATGCTGAATGTGAAAGCTTTACTAGATCTCACCATCCATGTGTACGAGCCTGTTCTTATGATATGTCCGATGTTCCGCTCACTTATCATTCGTTGTAAGAGTTATTCACGTGATGCTCGGTGAGCTCGAGTATAACTGGGATTGAGTCGCAACCGGTGACGTGAGGGTGAAGAGCGATAGGAATGAGGGACGTAGCACGGAGAGAATGAGGAGTGTAAAGAGTGGTTAAGTAGCGACGAACGAGGGAGAAAGAGAAAGCATTTTCATAGGGAGAGCGATAGAACTAGGCGAGAGATTAGGTGAGAGAGATGAGGCAAACAAGGTGTGAGTGCCAAGAGAGAGAGAGAGGGGAGAGGAGGTTAAGGGCTAATAAAGGAAGAGGAGCCACACACGGAGAACGGTTGCGCAAGAGGGAGAGAGAGGGAATGAGAAAAGAAAAATACCGGAGATGGCGGAGGTGTCTGTAATATGACTTGTGTAGTGATCTATGTATGCGATGACAGATGTTCTGTCTTAGAGCTGTGTAGGAATGGGTGGAGGTCGTTGTAGCGTGTTCTCTTAACTCAGTGTAAGACAATTGAGATATACTGCGTAACAATAATTTTTTCACGTTCCGTCTCCTATTTATGCAGATATTCTCGAAGGAAGAAGTAGATTGGCTCAAAAGATACACAGGTATACTAAATATAGCTTATGTTGATGGATAAAGCAAAAAATATTGTTTCTAGTGGTACTATAAGGTAGAGTGTATTTACACAAATATTTTATATATTTCATCTATGTCACTGAATTTTTTCATATCAACTACAATCTATAGTATCCTGTAAATAATTACTCTGTGAATTACCCATACTTTATATGTGCATATAATTGCCATTCATTTGCTTTTTCTCTCTCTAGCACTGGTTTAGGTCAAGCTGTTAACCTATACCCTGATGTCGCAGGTGATATAGATTAGTCGAATTGATAATTTCCTCTCCTGTATTTCACATCGACGGATTTATGCTGACGTTGCTCACATCTGTTGAAAGGGAAGAGACATCGTCATTCGAAATAATCCGGTTCAGGTGGTAACTCCGAAACGCAAGCTTATCTGTCACGAAGAAGGAGAAGGACATAGAACATGGCGGGCAATACAAGGTAAATAATACTACTGGATGTTAAGCTATCAATAAGTTAGTAACAAATATTTGTCATTTATGACAGTGTTTATCTATCATTTAGTATTATATATAATGTGTAATTTTACGTAATGTTTATATAATATTAATTTATTCTTAATTATAAGAATATCAGGTAAACATTAATGTAAGAGAACGCACTCGTGGCCGTTAGTAACGATCAGCTGTTTGCGTACAGGTGGAGTTGGGAGAGAGGCACGCCATCCTTAACTATCAGAGACACAGATAAGAAGGACAGCGGACCGTACCGACTATTCTCGAGAAAACTAGGTCAGGACAGCACTGTCATCAACATACAGATCAACGGTAAGCCGGGAATAGACCTGCTGCGTATAGTATATTAACATAAATAGTCCAATAATGCACTATAATAGTAAAGTATCAGAAACAATTGATCTACGTTACAATACGTTTAAATAAATTAAATAAGATTGAATAAAGTAAGATAGTAGTAAGTATAAATAAAGGTAAATTAATTAAATTAGAAAAGATTCCCTAAGCGGTTCGGAAACGAAGCGGGCAATCTATAGTTTAAACTGTATTTTAAGACGATTTCTCATAATTCGGTGCCGGTAATAATCGTTATGTCTCCGTTGCAGACAAGCGGACCGCCGCGCTTCCTCTGGTGGAGAACGTGCGCGACACCTCCGTCACATTGTCATGGAACCACCGAACAATGATGGCGGCAGCTTCATCACGGAGTACGTTATCGAGAAGTGCGAGCCATCGGTAGATCCTCTGAAGTGGATCGCGTCGGTAGCCAAAGTCGTAGTTCTCGTCCCCACCCCAAAAACCGCTCTCCCGTCCGCTCTGGCTCCTCCCTTCGGGATCTCTCTCTTCTTCTTTCTTTCTTTCTTTTCCCCCTCCATTCCTCTCTCTCCTTCTTCGTCTTTCTCTCTGCTCGCTATCTATCTAGTATATATTATGCTAAAATGGTAATAATTTGATTGTGATGAGTTTAATATTATCCATCAATATGGTTATATTAAATGCCGACTTTTAACCGCTCTACTAGTTTTGGAGCTTGCAGCTCACCCACATAATTCTATAAGCCGATCATATTGCAGGTCACGTAACACACGATGGAAACATCGAGCCTAACAGCAATATCAGTTCCGAGTCTGTGCCGAGATTTCCTACGGCAATGAGTGAGCCCTGCGAACCCACGGCTCTCATCCACCCGGGTAAGTCTACGCTGTAATGCTGAAAGGTCCTAATGTCCCCCAGGGTACTTGGCGACCGTACCCTGGTACTATCTAATATGCCGGACCGTACCTCGCCTACTCCACTAACGAGTCTAGGGAGTCGCCTACGCTTACTCCCTAACCCTAACCCTAACCCTAACCCTAACCCTAACCATATCAAATAGTTACCAGGGTACGTTCCGGTATACCGGACCGTACCCAGGGTACGTTCCGGCA